TTAAATAAGTCATTAAATTTCACATATCATTTAACCAATCATTTACATCCACATAAATTGGGGATACATCTCCATTGGGGATGGATAGTATTTTTCTTTCCATAATTACTCGTGACACTAGATCCAATTTTTAATTTAAATTTCACACTTTCACATCAACAACTGAATTTTGTCCACATCATATTGTGAACACCATTATGTACCCAAATTATGTACTCATAGAATTTTCCAAAAAAATTATAGTATACCACTAGCATTTTTCTTGATCGACGGGTACTTTTTAAAGCTTATGACTGTTAATTACTCAGACGTTAAAACGGTGCCGTCTTTACTCGATTTGGGTTATAATACCTGATTAACTTCCATACAAGTTAAAACTTGCCTATTAATATTTGAATAATGGGCACAAATTGTTTTTATTCATTCTAAATTATTCCAAAAAATGAAAACAAATCCTACTTAAAACAATTTAAAATATATTTAAAAATATAAAAATTCATCTTTCATACCAACCCCACTCCCACTCCCACTCCCACTCCACCCCTCAACTAAACACCACCACCACGAGTTATATTGACCATCAGAATGTTCACCAAAGTTGACCTCAAATTTGTGAACTAAAGTTACCTTGGGTAGCAAAGTAGAATTCGTCCATTTTTTGCTGCCCAAATTCGGCAATCATACAAATACCTGCACCTCATATCCGCAACATTTTTGCACTGCTGCGCACCATGTTGCCTATGGTTGAAGTCCACTGCGTTTGTCCCTGCCATCAAGCAATTTATGCCGAAATTGTCAAGAAATCCTACAAACCCTTAAGCAACCGCACACTTGTTGTCAAAAAATTCCCGCCCATATAGTATCGCTATCAAGTAAATCCTTCATGCATGACTTTCACCTCTATCAAATGCATATATTTCTCGCACATCCATACAAATTCCACATACTACTTGTCCAAATGCACTAATCACATGCGCAATCTTCTACTATAGCCTTCACTACGATTGTGAACTCATGAAGAAGTCATTAAATAAAGATGGTCCTCTAAAGGGTTCCTGTAGTGTTAGATAAAGATTGTCCTTTAAAAGGGTTCGGTGTAGTGTAATCAATCTATGCCGTCCAACACGAGTTTACAATTCAGTCCATGAGTCTTATGTGCAATTAATTGTTCTTTTGCGAATGCAAATATAAATGTATTTTACTTCAAAATAAATAACAAGAAATATAGTCACCATCTTGAAACTTCTCAAATGCTTTAACTGTTTAAAAATGTTTTTTGTACATAACTATTTACATAATGACGAGGTGTCATTTTGATCCATTTAAATCCCATCATATTACCTATTGGTAAATCATTGCGTAAATTGTCATGTACATTTAGCACATCAGAATAAAAATGATGCTATTATCTTAGACTAATACAAAATTTAAAATAATAGGAATATTTTAAAATTACTTGGCATATTTGTATATTTATAAATACACACATTATGAACTCAAAACTACATCCTTACTCCTATAAAAGAGAGGA